TTCCAGTGAAATATATTTATGTTTGTGGTTGTAATGTGACAAAATATGGAAAAGTTCAAGGGGTATGAATACTTTTGCAAACCACTGTATGCACACTTTTCACCTGCCATGAGAATGTGCAGCAGCCACGCAAAGTTTTTCAGTCGACAGTTTTAACCCACAAAGTCATGAATCTGACCTGAATCCACAGAAATATGACTCTGTTGTGTGTTCTGGATGTAAGGAGCGTCTGAACACGGTGTTAGAATTTTTTTTAGTTGAGTTTTTATTGTTTAAACTGGAACGATCATGAAACTGAACCCCAGGACTGAAAATCATTTAACCTCAGACAAGAAAATAGATCAGTCTAAAAATGATCCAAAGAACCTCAGTCCAGTCTGTAAACTGTTTTTATATTTTTGTCACATCGTTGAAAACCTTTTGGGTCCCGGGCTGGAAAAACCTGACACATTACGTGCGGCATAAAATAAATAAATAAAATAAAGGCTGAAGAGAGGGAGCAAAATCGGATGCGAATGGTGGCTCACTGTACGGTAAGAATAATTATTTTTTCTGTGTGTAGTCTTCTGGCTGATGCTGAGTTGAGTTGAGTTGTGGCCGGGGCGCAGCAACTGCGCTTTGGGTAGATTCTCGCGCCAGGCGCGCGCACCCTCGCCAGCTGGGAAGGTGTTTATATGTGTTAACCCCTTTGGACGTTTACCTGTCTAATGAGCCTCAAAAATCTATATTTTTTGCTAAAAATCCGTAAGCTACCACTCATACCCGCGCGTGGGGGTGGGGTGGGGTGCGTGGAGATGGCAGTGCCTGCTGTAACGCAGGAGAAAAGGAGAGAGGAAAAGTGGATAACGGGATGTTTTTTTGTTTTTGTTTTTTGTTTTGTTTTGTTTTTTAACGTCCGTTCAACACCGTGTTCAACTAAATAGACAACAACTAACCAGACTTCAATATCACATTCGGGAGATGTCTGTAAATTTCAGGAAAATCTCAGGCTTTGGTTATCCCGTGCGAATGCGCCACATAAAATAATGACACCCCACTAATTATTTAGACAGTTTTCTCACGTATTCTCCATTTAATTAAAAATTTTCCTGCATCTAAAAATCATTTCTGATCYCACAGAGAGGACAATCTGAGGAGAATCTCACACGCTGGACACATTTACATCTATTTTACATAGTTAAATGGAGGCGTGTCAGGGGAGGTGTCTCGCATGCGCTCAGTTCCACGTTCATTGGGACGTATAAAGGAAAGGAGCGCAGGAACCTGCGTGCGCACGTTTTTATACATCTGAATATTTTGGTGCGGCGCACTTTTCTAAAATTGTCCGTACATCAATTTTTAGTGTGAAAGCTGCGCAATCCTTTATGCATGAGGCCCCTGCTTCCCAGACATCATCCTGGGAGTCACGGGAGGATCTGGAGGAGGACATGATCACCGTGAGGGCCTCCAATTCAGAGTTTCAGACCCTTGGGGATCAGAGGGACCCTCTCCAAACCTTCAAGATCAGGAGAGGAAACCCCTGTATCTGTATGGAAGGTATTGGTAGTTCAGAAAATTCCCTCAACAGTTCAGTTAGCTCTGACTCGGGGGTGGGGGGGGGGTGCCCGCTGAGAGCAATTATCATGGCAGCTTTGGCCAGGGTCTGTCTCGGCAATCAGACCAGCTGTTTGTGTGCCATGGTGTGAAGAAAAAGGGGCGAGCCCTGTCAAAACACAGGCTGTYGCATTGGGTTGTTGGTGCCATTGCGCTAGCTTATAAATTTGTGGGGGCTACTGCCCCCTCTGGGATTGTATGCCACTCTACCAGGAGTGTGTCTACATCCTGGGTGGCGATGAGGGGCGTGCCACTGGGAGACATCTGTGCGGCAGCGTCCTGGGCTACACCGTGAACATTTGCACATTTCTACTGCCTTAATGTGGGCCACGAGTCCAGACTTGCCGCAGCGATCCTGCCTCTGGCTTCCTCTACCTCCTAAGGTGGGTGAGTACTGCGTTCCTCGTGACATTGCTGGCATACTGTAAGTCATCCACTTTGTTTACTGCCACTGGCAGTCAGAAAGGAATGACACAGAACGGAAGTTACACTGTAACTAAGGTTCTGTGAATTCCTGGATGACTGGCAGTCACACTTGTCACTCGGAACCGACCGTAACCACCTGCGTGCTAATTATAGACGCATGCTCAGGTGAGCTACGTGTCACATACGCAACTTTGTTTACATTAAATCTCAACCTGCGCGGAGCTCGAGGGAACATATCCACTTTGTTTATTGCCACTGACAGTCATCCAGGAATTCACAGAACCTTAGTTAYAGAGTAACGTCCATTAGGTTTAAACAAACTGAATCTGGGTTTGGGTTTAGTTGTTTTAGTAAACAAAGACAGACATCTGAAGTTTTATTTCTTTAATAAAAGCTGGTAAAGATCTGGGGTTGGATTTATAAAACTGGCGTACGCACAATATGAGCTCAGAAACTTGCGTACGCCACTTTTCACGCCAAGTTTGTGATTTATAAAATCCAAACTTGACGTGAAAATGTGCGGTGCCTCATGCCAGCTCTGACCCATGCGTACGCTCATTTTGGAGACGTGAAACTGCGACACAGATGGTGAAGTGAGGAATTAGAGCCACACTGTGTAATGATCACTGTCAGATATTTAATTTCACTTCATCAGACTTAGATTTTTATTCAACTTTATCATCAACTTTCTTAACAGTAATATTTATGTTTCTGCTGCTGAGCCATGAGGACCTTTGAAATAAAAAAAACTTAAATCTTTAAATTTTAAATAAAAGCTCCCATGCGGAACTCCATTCATCTGCTTCCTCCTCAGACGACCCTGACCCACACAGACCCCTCCCTGACCCACAGACCCCTCCCCGACAAGAACAACAGGACAGCAAAAGTCACGCTTTGGATACACGCGCAGGGCGCATCCACCTCACCAGCGTGGATGTTATAAAACATCACATTTAAAGTCCGTATTTGTCACACGTGCGCRCGGGGGGATGCATGTGTGTGTGCGTGAGCGGGGCAGGGGTGTCTGCCGCGGATAACAGAGCAGGCAGGAGGGGGAGAGGACGAGGAGAAGAGCGGTGGACTTATTTCTAATTTTATCTGACGTAATTAATTTAATTTTTATTGTTTTTACTGTCCTGCAGGCTCTGAGGGAAAATCAATTTGAATTTGAGTATTTTTTTATAAAAATCGTTAGATTAATCTAAAGAAAAATGAGGGAAAAGCAGTGTCAATTACAGACATTCTGTTCACGTCAGCAGCTGTCAGTCAGCACCTGTCAACCTCCAGACGCACGACGGAGCGTGTCTGAACCAATCACTTTTGTTGGCATTGATCAGCTGACTGATTTAAATACATCTTAACATTCATGAGGTACTTTACATTGACTGTTTATGGTTGAATGTGGGCGTGTAGAGGGTAGAACCTGAGGTGTGGAAACTCTGAAACTCTGACGTGTGGCTGTGATTTATAAAGGAAATGTGCGCAGAAACATGCGTACGCACAGTTTTATAAATCAGAATTTATTGGGGCGTACGYCATTTCCGCCTTTTGGCCGTACGTTCACTTTTAGTATGGTTTCCACACAATCCTTTATAAATGAGAGCCCAGATGATGCAGAAAACATTAAAACTGAAAGATGGTGAAGTTCTACATGATTGTATTAATTAATATAACATAAAACTTCCTTTACTTTAAAGACTAAAATCCGCTTTAAACTATCAGATGGTATTTATGGAACTTTGTTCCTGTWCATTTGGTTTTCTGTGTTTATTAGTTTATAATATACTTTATCTGTTGTTTCTTCCCAGGCTGTTGGCTTTCTGTTGTGGATGGTCTGCTGGTCAGATGTGTTTTATACTTTCTGGGAAAGGAGTCGGATCAGCAGCATGTCAGCACCAGTCCACCTCATCAGTCCCACCTTACTGGGCCTCACCATGGTGAGACTTGCTCTGATCTGTAGAGCCAAGCTTACTTTTGGTCTGGTTACTGCCTTTTTATCACAAATTAAATTTTAGCTTTGTTTTTTTATTTATATATTGATTAAAATAATTAGACTTTAAGTGTCAGTAATATTTAATCATCATGTATTTTTAAATGTAGCTAGCAACTAGCTGTAACATTTGCTGTACTAATAACTTTGAAACACTGGGACCATCCTTTTTCTAGATGACTTCAGATGAAACCGTAGGATATAGATATGGACCAACAGTAATCAATTCCCCTGAGCTGTAAATGTTCTGAATGTGTTTCAGCTCTTCAGCACCCTGATCATCCAGTATGAACGACTGAAAGGAGCCCAGTCATCTGGAGTTATGCTGATCTTCTGGCTTCTGGCTCTGCTGTGTGCCACAGTCACCTTCAGGTCCAAGATCCTCCAGGCACTGGACCAAGTCAGTCTAACACGCAGTTTGAGACAGYTGTATCTGATGAAAAAGTTCAAAATACAGCCAGTATCTCACTAGGCTCTTTCTAATTGTGACTCAAACATCAGAGGAAATGTGCACACTTTTAGTTGCAGTCTGACTGAATTCTGTTTATGAACAGGACATATGAAACATGACACATATAAGACATGACTGATACAGGACAAATGAGACAAATAGGGATATACAGAAAATGTGAGACATATAGGAAACATGAGACATGCAGGACATAGGAAATCTGAGACATAGATGAAATGTAAGACATACATTATAGGATGTGATGTATGACACGTACATGACATATAAGACAGGACAGATAAATGAAATATAAGACACGAAACATACAGGAAATGAGACATATAGGACATATGAGATGCATAGGACTCATGAAACATACGGGATATATGATACATATATGAAATTAGACCAACACACCAAGGACAAAATTGTTGGTCCGCCTTGTTTAATGAAAGAAAAGCCCACAATGGTCACAGAAATAACTAGAATCTGACAAAAGTAATAACAAATAAAAATTCTATGAAAATGAACAAATGAAAGAGATAGCTTTTCAACCATGCTTCAACAGAATTTAAAAAAAAAAATTTAACTAATGAAACAGTTCTGGACAGAAATGATGGTACCTTTGAAAATAATGTGAAAAGGGTCATGTTAAATCAAGGTGTGTCCACTAATTATCATCACAGGTGTCTACAATCTTGTAATCAGTCAGTGGACCTGTATAATAGGACTACAGATACTCACTGTGCTGTTTGGTGACATGGTGTGTACCACACTCAACATGGACCAGAGGAAGTGAAGAAAAGAGTTGTTTCAGGAGATTAAAAAGAAAATTAGATAAGAATGTTAAAGGTTATAAGACCATCTCCAAGCAGCTTGATGCTCAGAGGGCAGCTAAGGGACAGGTGACGAGCCTCACAACCTCATAGAGGAGTCAGGGCCCGTATTAATCAAACTTCTTAGAATTACTCTTAAGAATGCTGTTAATAATGGACTTAAGTGTAAAAATATTCTGACTAAAAGTCATTTATCAAGCGTCTCAGTCTCTCTTTAAGCGAAGTGTAAGAGTAAATCAGTCTTAGAGCAGATTTACAACACTTTGCTTACACAAAGCTGATCCTGGGTGACGTTACAGACCCCCCCCTCGCATGGACCAATCACTGCATCAGATTTCATCTTCAAGAATATTCTGAGAAATGTCAAAATAAAACTATGAAAGATAAGTTCACATTTGATGCAAAAATGTCCATATGTGTCACGTACTGATTGTCATAAATTACATAAAATTTCCTAACTTACATCACGAATAAAGAAAATCGTGCGGATTATTTCAAAAACTGCAGCTTGAATGGTTTTTTTTTTATGTCTCAGAGCCTGAGGTAATGTTGAGCTTGCAGCTTCCTCCTCCTACTGCTCTCCACTAAACGGCCCACAGACAACACCCTCTTCACACACAGCTCCGTCATTATCTTCTTTGTCGCTTTTTCTCTATTTGCGCTACAGATTTTATGAAGTTTGAGTTAATGGAAGAAAACCTAATAAAAACGTTCAACTCCACATTCACCAGTGGGGGAGAATGAAAAATCAAGGCTCTTGACTACATCATCGTCTACTTTCACTCACCAGCTGATAGTTTAATATTTTCTCCAAAAGCTGCACAGAAATATTCACCTTGTAGTCCAACATTAAGTCACTGGTAATCTTTTTTTCTTCCCTTCTTTCTGTTGTATTGATGTCTAAACTTGTTTTCCACACCTCATTTTARTTCCTCTGTACATTATAACTGAGAATAACACTCAGGTGGGAGACCCTTGGATCACTTGGTACAGTTTCTGAGGTGGTGCAGAGTATTCTTGATGACACAGATGTGACCTCTGTCTTCTCCGTCCATCTTAGACCCTTAGTGGCAACTCTTAAACACTTAAGAGACCTCTGGAGTGGTCTTAAATATATGGCAGAGTAAGAGTGATTCGTAGACTGAAGAATTTTGATAACTTTCTTTTACACCTAAGTCTGAGAGTAGGAGGAAATCTAAGACATTTTCAGCACTTAAGTCTAAAATTCCACTCAAGAGTTTTGATAAATATGGGCCCCAGAGTCCAGGCTTTCAGGCTTCTGACACTTCCTTCTTGTTGGCCTCAGGATCATCTGAGGGTTCAACATTATTGCTGCACATCACTAGGCATTTTTCAGACCTGTTCAAAACTCAAGTTACAAGTACTCAAACAAACTGAGTAAGCCAATAAACATCACAAGATGTTGTGGCGACTCCAGCCTAATGGTTGTTCCCCAACTGGTCACAGCCCAGTGAGATCTTGCRTTACCCCTCTGCCTGCATGACTGATTCACCCAGAAACCATAGCTGCTCTGTTCAAAGATGTGATTTTTCAGTTCAGTTCTGTTCAGTTCAGCTTTATTCATATCCCGAAGGGAAATTGGTTTGCAGCAAGCAGCATACACACCAAAAACACCATCCTCAGACAGCATCACATTCATTCTATTAATACCCCACAATTTATAAACATTTACTTTAAAACTTTTACTTAAAAAAACATGCTCAAAAATGCAATAAAATCTTTTGTATTTTTTCTTCTTCATTTAGCCAGAGATGGTGTGTGTGTGGAGATCCACCACCTTCTACATGTACTATGTTCTGCTGCTGATTGCTCTGATCCTGTCCTCTCTCACCGATCGACCGCCGCTCTTCTCTCAGGCTGTTAAAGACCCGGTRAGACCACCACCCCCTCACCTCCACATGTTTAATCTTATGGTTTTCCATGTCTGTGATGTAGTACATCTAAAAAGTCTGAACCTCTCACCTCTGTCACTGACACTGACGGACTCCTCAGCAGCCTTGTGTGTTAAGTTTAACTGTGAGGACTTTGTGTGCAGAATCCATGTCCTGAGCCTGGAGTGTCTTTCCTCTCTAGAATAACCTTCTGGTGGATCACAAGGTGAGTGAACAATCAGATGTCTAAATTACCAATTCTGCTCCACCCTGCTGTCCTCATTTAGTGAAGATGGAGGTGTTCATAACAGCAATGTTTCACAAACCTGTAGAACATTTCATCGCTTTTTAAAGTGAGGTTCTGTAACAAAGTAGTAAAGAGCTAATATCCCACCTGTTCTATTTCGTGTAAGCTCCRCCCTCTAACGCTATCGCTGATGGGTATCCCTCTGCGCCTCGCACGCATTCTGAAAACCCAATAGTCCACGCCCCCGTCCCGTGGGGCCCCACCTCGGTCCTATAAAAGCCGGTTGGACCGATGTACATCTCCCTCGTTTTTCTTCAGCTTCGGCATTTGACATGTAACCATAGAAGACACCACATACATGTAAGTGCTACAGTATAATTCCTTTTATATCGATATGGAATTTGTGTCTGGCGCCACCAAGCTATGATCCGCGTAGCCATCCTTTCCAGGCTGCTCGGGGTTCGGTTTTCCCCTGCACGACCCGTTTTTACTCCGGTCTCCTTCCTCGGAGAAGGTTGATCGTGGTTAGCTAGCATATATTTTCCCGTGGGTGTTCCCACGGTGCGGTATTATGCTAAGCTRAGGCGCTGGACATCTTCGTGCTTCCACATGGACTCAAGGAGTATCGGTCCATGCAGGTTTTTATTCTTCGAAATGGTCTGAGTTATCTTCCTCTGTGGAGAGTGGACCGAGCTAGCCATGTTTTTTCCCGCCGGGGACACAGCAGTAAACTGGCTAAGTCAGTTAGCTACCTACTTCCTAGCCAGCTAAGTCGGGCGCTATCCCTTGCGTTGGACTTGGAGAAGTCCCAGCTTTCAAAGACGGGATACAAGTGAATTACCCCCGACTTTCGGAAGGACCCCTGTCCCCGCTTCACAGGGGAGAAGCTGGGGTCGGTTGTGCTGCTGCTTGGGGTAGCTTCAAGCCTTGGATGCGCTAATTAGCTTGACCAGACCATTCGAAGGCCGTTGCTAGTCTGCTACTATCACGGATGTGTTAGCCACTACTAGCTCGCTCGTTACACGGATGTGGTAGCTAGTAGTTAAGGCCTTCAGACGTCGACGCTTCCAACCAGGACTGGACTGGAAGCTTTTTCAGACCTTTTCGGATGATGCGCTTCTCATCTTCAGCATGGTCTGAGCTATCTTCCTCCGGGGATGGAGGCCCAGGCCAGCGGAGTTTCCCGCCGGAGATCACGGCGGCAAACTAGCTGAGCCAGTTAGCCACCTAGCTAAGCGAAGCAGGGCGCTGTGTCTACGTGTGTTGCGCCGAAATTGGACCCCGCTTTTCAGTGGAGAAGCTGGAGTAAGCGTGCTGCCGCTTGGTGTAGCTTCTAGTCATGGAGGTGCTATGTAGCTTGACCAGAGCAGTCGCAGACTGCTGCTAGCTGGCTCGTAACGCAAGATGTGTTAGCCGCTATTGGCTTGCTCACAACACGGAGCGGCGCTCCCAACCAGGACTGGACTGGGAGCTCATCCAGACCATTTAGCCAAGACGAGTTTTGCCCCTAGCATGGAGATGCTAGTTACAATGCTAGGGGTTGCTTACTCCAAGCTGAGAGCTTCGGTCTCATTCCACACGGACGTGACAAAAGTGGAGGGGGTGACCGTCTTCGGTTCCCGCCGGTCCCAGCACTGGAAACGTCGTCCTCCACGGTCTTCGCCGCTGAGGCGGTACGGTCTGCCGGAGGGTGACCTTTCTCTTGCAAGCAGTAGACCAGCAGCTAGGCCGACCGGTCCCGTCATCGTGCGGCACAGTCGGGTGCTGCAACCAACAACATCGCTCTCCAGGCCGTCAACTTTTCAAAAAAAAAAAAGAAGAAAGAAACAGCGGAGAGCGGGGCGCRACGGGACCTCAGCACAGAGGCCAGCACGAGTTTGAATCTCTGCGCTATTTAGGCYGGGTGTGCGTCCTGCATCATAGTTTGGAAGCAGGAGAAATGTGTATTTTTTGGTGATTGTGAGTGATCATCTTCCCATAAAGGGCTAACCCTTCAGACAAGTGTTCAGTGCAGTCAGGCCTCAGGGCGCTGTCTGTCTCACATGTTTTTGCCCCACTCTGGGTAAGAATATGCTCACTAGTCTTATGCCTAGCCGGCCTTTGGTCTTTACCATTACAGTCACACAACTTTCTCCTCTCCCACGGCTTTTTCACATTCTGTGGTTCGTTCCGCCCCTTGTGGTCATCGAACACACACACTCTCTCTTCTTCATCCCGCCGGCAAATGGCGGACGTAGGAGAAAACAGTCAATGTGAGCCACGTCACAAGCAGGGGTGCTTTGTTTCGCCCCCGTTGCAGCATGAACCTACCAATCACAGTGGCAAGATGAGCGCTGTGTCTGGCTCTGCTGATCTAGCTTGAACTCGTGCTCACTTACGGTCCCGGAGGTAGCCCCTCTCGGGTCATGTCAAAATCATCGTCGGCACGCAGGGCTCCCTGGAGCGCCTGCACGGGCCTTTCGAGCACAGCCCCCCATAGGTCACATGACTGAGCGTGACAGAGCTAGGCTCTGAGTGTATCGGTTGCTACGACAACTGCACAGCAACCTGTGCATGCGCGAGCTCTTTCAGAGCGCAGCATGGTCTGGGAACACTTGTCCCTTGGACAAGTGGATGAAGCACTTGGTAATACGGGCTACAGGCTACAGTTTGCAACTATGCCTCCCCGGTTTGGCAAGATCCTGGTGACCCTTCTATTGTCTCCTCAGCGGGATCTCGCTCTCCAAGTACAGCTTCAGTAACTCCTGAATGACGAAGTTCATTTCTAAGGTTCCCAGTGGGGACGAATTCAGGGGGTTTACTTCCAGTTTTTTCTTGTCCCCAAGAAAACAGAAGACCCGGTACCAGTACAACCAACTTCTTTTCGGTTACGCACCGACACCACGCCTTTTCTCCAGGCGTGTGGAGATGACGCTGCAGCCTCTGTGCTCAGCGGAAATGAGAATCCTGTTTAATCTGGACGACTTGCTTCTGTTGGCTCCATCCAGACAGGAAGCAGCGTCACAAATGGAGAAGCTGTCTGCACACTTGAGGATGCTGGGCTTCTCCATAGAATGGGAAAAAGAGTTCTCTCGTCCCGGTCTAACTCTTCACGTTTTTGGATGTGGATCTGAACTCGGTCACCATGACAGATCATCTTTTCCAACCAAAAAAAAAGGGTGGGGGGTCTTGCCTTCATTGCTAAGCACATGTCAGGCCCCGCAGGTCAGTGACAGCTCTAACCATCATGCTTTCTTGGGCATGATGACAGCGGCCCATGCGGTGGTTCCGCTCGGGCTGTTACACACGAGACGCCTGCAGCGGTGGTTCTCCCGGCTGAAGATCAATCCCTGACGTCACAAGCGCAGGATTGTATAAATGGTAAATGGTACTGAACTTATAGAGCGCTTTTCAAGTCCCTCCGGACCCCCAAAGCGCTTTACACTAACAGACATTCACCCATTCACAATCACATTCACACACTGATGATGGCAAACTACACTGTAGCCACAGCTGCCCTGGGGCACACTGACAGAGGTGGGGCTGCCATGCATCGGCGCCACCGGACCCTCTGACCACCATCAGTAGGCAAGGTGGGTGAAGTGTCTTGCCCAAGGACACAATGACTGAGACGGCTGGACGGGGGATCGAACCAATGACCTTCTGGTTCCAGGACGACTCCCCTAACCACTCCGCCACAGCCGCCTCATCAGTATAGATCCCCTCCTCAGTGGAGGTGGATCTGGGCCACTGGAGGAAACCGCACACACACTCACTGTCAGCAGGAGTCCCTCTGAGCAGAGCGTCACATCACGTGCCGGCCTCACCGACGCGTCACTGTCGGGGTGGGGGGGACATGCCTGTCCCAGACTGTGGGAGACCGCTGGTCTTCCACCCTGTTCCCCACATGGATGCTCTGGAATTCCTGACGGTGTGAAAAGTACTGGTGCTTTTCACTCATCTGGTCTAGGACCAGCTTGTTCTGGTCCATTCAAACAGCAGAGTGGCAACAGCTTCATCCACTGGGGGGGATGCGCTCTCGGCCGTTGCTGGACAMAGCCAGAGATCTTCTCTGAGCACACAACCACTTCCCACTTGCGCTCAATCCGAGCGAGTTACGTTCCAGGTGTGCTGGATAGGGGTGCGGATATCATGTCCAGGAGAGGTCCCCGGGGATGGGGACTGGACCCTGCAACATGACCATAATTATGCGAATCTGGGACAGATTCGGCAGGGGAAGTGGAMCTGTTTGCCAGCAGAGAGATGTAGAATGCATCTCTGTTTCTCTCTGAGYTCACGGGACGACCCTCCTCTGGAGGGGGCGCGTTGGCGCACCGTCCATGCCCGGACATGCTGCTTATGCCTTTCCACCTGTTCCTCTGATCCCACGTCTGCTGGATTGGATCAGAGAGGACTGGAGGCGGGTTGTTCTGATCGTTCTGAAGCGCACGGGAGCGCTTTGGTTCCCGGTCCTCCAGTCGTTGCTGTCAGAACTTCCGCTTCAGCTCCCTGGCAGGAGGACGCTCTTCTGCAAGCGGGGGGAGCGATCAGGAGTCTTTTTCCCAGCTGGGTCAGCCCCTGACCCCACCCACCCCAGCCACTTCCTGTTTCAACTCCTGCCATCTGGAAGAAGGTACAGGATCATCAGAGCCAGAACCACCAGACTCAAGAACAGCTTCTTTCCCCGTGCTGTTAAACTGGTGACCCCAGCCACTCCAGCCACAACCTGAACAATCATAGACTGTCCGTTGTCCACACCTAGTTCACTTCATACACACGATTGTGCATTTAATGTTTGTGTCTAATGTTTATGCATGTTATGTCTTGTCTTGTCTGCACTATGTCCTTTGTTACTGCACTGGAGATCTAGCTTAAAAGCATTTTGTTGCACTGTACAACCCTGTTTCAGTATAATGACAATAAATTGAATTGAATTGAATTGAACTGAATGTCATGTGATGCGCACGGCTCATATTAGATGCTCTCAGTGCCTGTTTGTTCATTACAGAGAGCAGTCTGTGRGTCAACCTCTGTCTCCTCAGAGACTGTCACATTGGTTCTGTGAGGCTATCTCTCAGGCTTACACTTCATCTGGACTGCAGCTTCCAGCTGTGCTGTCAGCTCATTCCATGAGGGGAATCTCCTCCTTCACTGCCTTATATAGTGGAATGTCAGTCCAGGACATTTGCTTTGCTGCGTCCTGGTCATCCACTTGTCCTTTCATTCGCTTTTACCTGCGGGATGTTTCAGGCTCCTCTCTGACTCACTCTGTTCTCAGGACTTTGTCRGAGTAGAAGATGGGTTGCCAGATAGGGTGGACAAGTGACGGATTTATATGTGAAATGATTTCACACACAGCACTTGGTCCTTTTTCCCTCACATCATTGGAATTATGTGATGGACTGGGGCAGACGCAGATGTTCACTGTGCGGGTCGGCTGCTGTCGCGGCCCCTGCTTGTGTAACATTTGGGGTTCTTGGGCGGAAGCTTCACGAGTCTGTCTAGCCGGTGAGGCGCAGACTACATCAGGCTCTGCCTCTATACCCATCAGCGATATCCTTAGAGGGCGGAGCTTACACGAAATAGAACATTGGTTACGTATTGTAACCTCAGATTCTATGAGTGTAAGCGCAGCCCTCTAAGAATCGGGGCCTCACCGGCTTCCGAAGCTGAAGAAAAAATAAGCTTTCGGGAGACGTACATCGGTCCAACCGGCTTTTATAAGACCGAGGTGGGGCCCTACGTGACGGGGGCGTGGACTATTGGTTTTTCAGAATGGGCGCGGAGGGATACCCATCAGCGATTAGAGGGCTGCGCTTACACTCATAGAATCTGGGGTTACAATAAGTAACCAACGTTTTAGATGGACTTTTGAATAACTTCTGTTTAAGATGTGACTGTGCAACAGTCTGGATGGAGCAAAGAGTAAAGTGGATGGTTGTTGTCCTTAAATGTCTTTCACCTACAGAGGTTAATCAGAACATTATTTTATATATGTACCTATACATGACCATCAGTTTCACTTTAACTCTGCACCTCTACAATAAACAGTTGTTCCTTTTGCTTTCCACAACATGACCTTATTAACAATATAGAAAATTAGTTTTACTTTTTAAAACATATTCAGAATCCACACCAAAGTGCATCGAATATAGATTATTATCCCCAGTTTTGATGTTTTTGTAACTTTTACACAAAATTCCAAATAAAAATCATTGAATTATCCTTTTTTTAACTTGCCTTTGGAAAACAAGTGGATCTTGTTTACTTTGTCTTGTTCCTAAAATATCTTTTAATTGGTTAGTTTCAACTTAAAGGGATCCCCGATTAGTTATAACATTAGACTTTATTTGATAAACGTATATTTTAACTGAAAAATAGACTGTTAAAATACTGTAGGATGTTCAGTTTTTATCATTTTTAAACTAAAGGTTTAAAAATATATTACACGGATGGGGCCATTTTACTTACATGCAAAGCATTCTGGGTAAATGATGATGTGGATAGGTCCTCGGTGCGAGGCTGCTAGCGAGCTATATCCACCTTGAAGGTAAATCTTGGACAATATCTGACGATTGGCTTTTTTAAACAGCCAATTTTGTGTTTTTCAGGCTTATATTTAAATACTATACCATAATAAAGTATCTACAGTATGTCACCTTTAGCTGTTATTAAAA